GGAGAGGGGTTTGTGCGGGGAGAAGGGTGCAACAATGAATGAATGGAATTCCAAAATCTCTGTAGATGTTCATTGAAATGAAAAATAAACAAACTAAATTTAAAAAAAAAAAGGAAGTGCTCTAGTGGTGGGAGATAGTTGGGCAATCTCTTCCCATGCACTTTCCTGCCTTCAAAAACCTGCTGGGGAGTCAGCTGTGGAGTAGATACAACTCAGTAGTACACAACAACAAGAAGCAGCAGCTCTAATGGCAGCTGCTACTGTATATTCAATTTGGACCAGATAGAATCTGATTAACCAGTTGAAACCCTGAAGAAAAATCTATTACAATTCAGCACATGTAATATTCATTTGTTCCACTAAATATAAAACAAAACAAAATTCAAACCCACAGCTATCCAGTCAGTTCAAACTCATAGCAACTCTCCATTGGGTTTCTGAGGCTGTAATTTACAACCAGAGTAGGTTGCCTATCCAAATGATGGTGTATTCAGCAGATGGCCTTTGTGTTAGCAGCACAACTTGCTATAAGCTACCAGAGTTCTCACATTTGTTTCATTAGTTGTTGTTATGTACCACTGAGTTGAAACTAACACATATCTGACCTTCCAGCAGGTTTTCAGAGATAATAATCTGCATGGGAGGAGATTTTCCATCTTTCTCCCATGGAGCATCTAATGGATTTGAACCAGGGACTTTGAGTTGCAGTGTATCTATTCTCTGCTAGGCCATCAAAGTTCTCCGATTTATCATAAGAAAGATTATTTAAATAAATAAGAGCAGTGACAATATATTTTCTTTTAGTATATTCTTTCTGTTTATTTATAACTTCTGTGGCATTTCATTTCATTTTCTTGTTAATTCTGTTGTTTCGTTTCATAGATATTTGGTATGATATTTTCCATGGTCCTGATTTACCAGATTGGAGGAAAATGATCCTGTGGATGTCTCAAGATATGGCCAGGAAAGCTTCTTTAAAATCTTACCTTGGCTTTATTGCTTTAAATACATGAATGCTGTATGCATCAGTAACAGTTATGTGTTCATATGTGTCTCGTTTAGCCAGACCATAGATATCCTTCAGATATTTTAAACGCACTTAAGATTGGAGATATTTGTAAAACTTGTATGAAATCATATGTATATTCAGTAAAAATAAAATGGTATTGTGTACATGATATTCTTTCATGTTTAATCATTGTGTTCAAGTAGCATTATGCTTAAAATATTTATCTAAGACCACCCAGTGGAATAGTCTTCATCTCTAAATGACATGGTTATTATAGTTAGCAAAGGCAGTCAGCCTGAGATATTTTTATTTTTTTAATAAACTAAATTCTTCTCTGTGTGTATCAATCATTGATGATAATATTAAGTCTGAAGTGAAATAACTAAGAGCCACTCAGCTAAAGAAGCACATGGTCTTTATTACATGCCACCATATCCCCCCAAAAAAATCCCTAAACCCATTGTCATCAGGATAGCTGTGTATCTTTATGAAAAAAGATTGCTCATGTTTTCTTTTTCACGGAGATTCTAGGGGTTCTGAACTGTTGACCTTTTGGTTAGCATCACAGCATGTAACTCACCATGCCACCAAATCTCTAAATGGTGTCTCCTTTTTGCCCCATATTTATTATTGACACAAAATCAGAGTGTCTTCCTCCCACCCATTGGATTTCTAGTACTTTTCTTAATCCTTCAGAAATTAAACTTGATTTTAATATGATACGATAAGACAGATATTAGGAAAAAAAGAAATCAACTATAATGAATTGAATTTGTTAAGTTTTATCTTTGCTGTTTTCACACCTATTTTTGAGCTTTACTTTGTATTGAATTATAATAGACATAGAATGAACAAATCTTAACTGTATACTCAAAATGTATTGCTATGGAATCAGAACCAACTCGTAACTGACTCCTCCTGAGTTTCTGAGGCTGTAAGTTGCATGGGAGAAGATTACCCATATTTTTGCTGTGGAGCTGCTAGTGGATCCAAACTGCTAAAGAGGTATAGCTTTGGGCCAGCAACTCAACTTCTTACTACACCAACAGAGCTCTACTAACTATAAAAATGTCTACATTTATATAGACTGGCTCCCCAGATGGTTCTTTTAAACCCTTTCCCAGTGATATATTGGAATTGCCTTACACTGGCTTGGCGGGGCGTACATCCACGTGATGTTCAGAGACATTACTTGGTAGTTTGAAATCCACCATAAGGGGATTATTTACACAATGAAAATTGGTAAATGCTGTAACACCAGGGTTCTTGTCTTAAAACTAAGATTTAATGATATTTTTAAAAGCTGATTGCTAACATGTATCAGCACACCATTGCCTTCTTTCACTTAGGTTCATGTTCCATATTATTGAACTCTTTATAAATGAAATAATAAAGCATTTACTCTTTCCATAACACTTTGACCTTGAGATTTATTGCTGCATGCAGCTGTAATTTATCCTCCCTTTTGTTTAATAGTCCATTGTATGTGAATGTATTACACAGGATTTCCCCATCCTTCTATTGATGAATATTTGGACTGTTTATGCTTACTATACATTATGAATAAAATTACAGTGAACATTCTTGTGGATGTCTTTTGTGCATGTTCATGCTCAGATCTGAGTAGAAATTCAGGAGTGGAGTTGCTTTGTCATAGGGCATGCATATGTTTAATTTTATAAATTCTATGGAGCAATTTTATAAACATTATAAATTCTGTGGAGCAATTTTCTGAAGTGGTTTTGCTAGTTTATAGTAATACTAAAAATCAATAATAGGTTCTTAAGTTCTTTTTCTCAAAAGGAGGCAGAGTAAGTGAAACAATTACTATCAAGTAGATCAAAATGACTACCAAGAGTAGGAAACTTGGTGTAGCCTTGAGCCTGGATTAGATACCTCTATTCTGTGATCCCCTATTAATAATAAGGAAAGCTAGCCTTCCCTGAGCATATGCCTTCTTTCCAGCAGGAACTGGACCAGAAATGTTACCTCTTAAGTCTCTTCTTTTCACCACAATTTTATGAACTAGACATCATGTGTAATTGTCATTTTATAGGTGATAAAAAGGAAGCTTGGGAAGTTAGGTAACCTGCCCAGAGTTACTCAGTTGACTCTCAAACTGAACTGGATTTCAGACTTCGGCAGTTCCCTTCCAAGTCCTGGGTGTTAATCACACTCCACTCTGCTTCCTTGTATTCTTACTACAAATAAACTTGTCATGTTGTTGTTTTTTGTGCTTTTTTTTTTGCAATGATCTCTGTTTATGTGATTTCTGTTTGTGTTTACTTCTCACAGCATACTGTAATTCTTTTAAGGAAGACACTTAATCTCTTATTTGTCTCGATATCCCTAATACCTATATATTATTTGGCACATTATTGATGTTAATGAAATTAAAGTGAATTGTTGTTATGTGCCGTCGAGTCGTTTGCGACTCATAACGACCCTATGTACAACAGCCCTAAACTCTGCTCTATCCTGTGCCAATCACACTGCCTCTCACACACCCATCCTGATTACCCCAGTCACTGAATCAATCCACCTCATAGAGGGTCTTCCCCTCCTGCGCTGTCCCCCACCTTACCAAGCATGATGTCTCTCTCCAAGGATCTGTCTCTCCTTATAGCATGTCCAAAGTATGTCAGACGAAGCCCCAGAATCCTTGCCTCCAAGGAGTAGCCTGGTTTAAGCCTCCCCAGGATGAATCTATTTGTTTTCTTGGCAGTCCATGGTACATTCAATACTCTTCTCCAGCACCACAGCTGAAAGGCATCAACTCTCCTTCTATCCTCCCTAGTAATTGTCCAGCTCTCTGATGCATAACAAGTGATTGCAAAGACTATGGCCTGTATCAGGCGCACCATAGTCTCCTGAGAGACACCATTGTTCTTGTGTACTTTAGAGAGGTCCCTAACAGCAGACTTTCCTATCGTGATACGTTTTTTTATTTCCTGACTGCTGGTGCCAAGAGTGTTGACCGTGGAGCCAAGCAAACTGAATCTGTGAACAATCTCAATCTCTTCGCCATCCATCCTGATGCTATCAATTGGTCCAGTGGTGAGAATCTTTGTCTTCTTGACATTGAGCCTCAATCCATACTGAAGTTTGCAGTCCTTAACTAACTTAAATCATTCAAGTAGTAAGCATAGAAATTATCATTCCATGTGAGTTAACACTGATGTTCCTATGCCATATCATGTTGGATAGAGCGGGGTTTAGAGTTATTGTGCATAGGTTGCTATGAGTTGTGGTCGACTTGACAGCACATAACGACAACAACTGCCTCTGAGGACTGAGATGACAGGAGAAGAATCAATGCTTTTATGTTGTAGTGTTAAAGAAGATTACAAAATATCCCATGGGATGTCAAAAGAACAGAAATGTTCTTGGAAACATTTATTTTGCAAAGCATGAAGCTAGAGTGCTCTTTGGAGATAAGGATGGTGAAGTGTCATCTCACATACTTTGGGCATGTTGCCCAAAAGAGAAGATATTCCCTGGAAGGGGTCATCATGATTAGAAAATTCAGAGAAAAAAAGAAAAATCCTCAATGAGTTGGATTGATACAATGACTGCTGCAATGGGCTCAAGCATGTCAGAGATGATAAGTAAGGCACAAGTATCAGCTGTGTTGTTCATTGGGTCAACACGAATCATACTAAATAGAAATCAGGAGTGTTCCTACACCAGACTCTGGCCACATGCTGGCTTTGTAAATTGGTTAATTTACAGTCACTTAATCTCACCAGCCAATGAGACATTTTAGTAGAAGATATTTAAGTTCTCAACCATCAGACAAAAGTGTAAATTCACATCTTGAGTTACTGTTTTTGAACACCAATATTTTGCACATGATTGTTCATTGAAATTTTAGTTTTGGTCTTTGGTACCAAAAGTGATTAAAAAAAATCACCTTTGGAGAATATTAAAATCAGGTTTTAAAAATGAGGTAATTAATTCTTACCTTTATGTTTTTGAAAACAAACCATATTATTCGTACATGTTAAATTGAATTAAGTTACCTAAGAATTTTAGCAGAATTTCTATAAAAGAAAAAACTTCTACTGAACTCATTTTCCAATTAATCTGAAAACCTTTCAGTTAAGAGAAATGTAGGGATTATCTTCATTTTGCTTAACTTCATTTATATACATAAAATTCACATTAAAGTTTGACAAATACTTCTCAAACCAACCTCCTGTCTACTTCTACTTCACTGTCATCCCATTTTATTGTTCACAATTCCTCTAGAACCAGAACCTGCTAAGATCACACAATATTAATTTATTTCTTAGTCTATTTTACTGAAAGTTCCCCCATTATTTTCCAGCTCAACTAAATTATTTCGTCTTAACACCTACTCCCAGTGAATTTTCTCTGCAGTGTGACTTGAAATAATAAACTAGCTGTTGCCTTGTATTCCATTTCACAGCCATCTCATTGGTAACTCTCGGGGCTTCCTGGCTAAGAAGTTGCGCTGCCAAGTCAAAAGCCCAGGGTTTGAATCTCAGGCACTCTACAAGAGAAAGATGGGCAATCTACTGTGTGCTTTGCAGTTGGATGGTCAACTGCATATAGATTCTGACTCCACAGAATGCAACAACAACAAAAAAACCATGGTTCTCATCTTTGGTATTAAAGAAAGAGTATTCCACAACTTAATAAGTCCAGTTCCAACTACATTCATGTTTCCTCAACACCTTCTGTACAGATATTTATGTACTTATTAATTGTTGTTAGGGAGATCTCCTGTAGTTAGTTTGTTCTCAAAAGACCATACCTCTCTGTTTTAAGGAAGAAACATGGGCAAAGTCCTTCCAGGCGATTTACAGCCTTGGAAAACCTGCTGGAGAGAAAGCTATAAGTCTGTTCAGACTTGACAACAGTGATTTTTACTTTGCTTGATTCCTGTTAGGGAGTTTTGGTAGTGTAGACCACAGGGAGTTGTGCTGCTAACCCCAGAGGTGGCATGTCTCTGGTGGTTCAAATCCACTAGCTTCTCCATGAGAGGATGTGGACATTCCCCTTCCATGTGATTTATAGCCTCTGATGACTTTTTCGGTCCACAGTATTTCACTGATGTACTTACTGCATTTGAGTGAGTTCTGACTCACAGCAACCCTCCTTTGAGTTTCAGAGGCTGTACACGATAATAGGAGGAAACTGCTTATCTTCCTCCCAAATAGCAACTGACAGATTTGAGCCACCAGAGATGAGACAACTCTCAAGTTGGCAACTGAACACAAATGAGGATATGACTGTTTTCCAGGCCTATGTTGTTGTTGTGTGCAGTTGAGTCATAACCGGCTCATCGCTGACCGTCCAGCTGGTTTTCAGAGGCAATAAAAAAATCTCACGGGAGGAGATAGGTCATTTTTCTCTTGCAGAGCAGCTGACTGTGTGCTTTTGTGATACGAGAACAACTTTTGTCACAATCAACAGAGCTCCCTCTGATGCCTATTTTTGATATGTATGGAAAGTTCTCTGTTCATTTATTGCTCTAGACATCTTTGAATCATCTTTAGCATATTTTTACTTGTGTGTGATATTCATTGAATATTCAATAATTTGAACGGTGCATCTGATCTAGGCCATAGTCTTTCTGATAACTTGCTACACATCTGAGAGCTGGACAATGAATAAAGATGACTGAAAAAAAAAATTGATGTCTTTGAGTTGTGGTGTTGGAGAAGAGCACTGAACATCGCATGGATAGACAAAAGAACAAATAAATATGTCTTGAAGAGGGTGCAGCCAGCGTATTCTTTGGATGCAAGAATGGTAAGGCTTCACCTCACAGACTTTGGACATGTTGTTAGGAGGAGATATTCTTTGGAGAAGGACAAGATGCTTGGAAGGGTAGAGGGTTGGCGAAGTAGAGGAAGACCCTGGACCAGGTGAATTGACACGGTGACTGCTGTAATGGGCTCCAGTGTGTCAAAAAGTATGAAGGTGGCACAGTTATAGGACAGGGTTCAAATTTGTTGTTCATAGGGTTGCTATGAGTTGTACTTGACTCAATGGTGCCTAACCACAAGAGCAACAAGAAGATTGGATCATCTTTTTAAAAAAAATTAAAAATATGAATCACTTCTACTCAGTTTGCCAGGGAGCTGTCTTCCAAATTTCTTGATACAGTTTGGTGAATATGTCCAGGTTTGCATCTGTTTGCTGACTCAATTCCTAGAGATTTCTTTTTTGTACATGACTTCGTTCCAGTTTGTATTTCTTCTTTCAGTACCCTCAAAGACAAAGTGCATCTGACCCAAGACACAGGTGTTTTCAATTGCTTCATATTTTTGTGAATGTTGGACAATAAATACGGAATATTGGAGAAGAAATGATGTCTTTGAATTGTGGTGTTGGTAAAGAGTATTGAATATACCAACTGTGAAGGGAACAGATGCAACAGGGGGATGACCAAGTCCGACTTCTACTCACTTCAAAAAGGAAACTATCACGATTAATATCATCCATAGTGCCAAACAAATAGCTAATGGTCAGACATACCACCACCCGTGCTTCTGCTCCTATTTCTATGAATCATAAAGTTCAATGTTCATTGCAAATTGACTCACAAAGTATACTCACAGTTGCGCGGTTTATTAGAGAAATAGGTTGGTTTTGGGTGAAATAAAATATATCACATAGTGAAAGTGCAGGTTTAGTGAACAATAGTTCAATGAGAGCAAGACACCAGTCCTCAAGTAGATCAGACAGCTTCTTAGTCAATAAGTGAAAGTCTAGATTCAGTTCAACAGCACGAGTAAATTTCTGGTTTCCTCAGTTGTACAGCAAACTTTGTCTCATAGCATTCACAAATCAGCTATTCATTTATTCCTCTAGAAAGAAAACCTTTAATGTTGGCTTCATCTCCAGGGTTCTGTCAGGCTACAACTTTCCACAGTTTCTCCATAGTGTATTCACAATCTAGTCATACATCCTCACAGGGTGGAAATCACTCTCTTATATTGGTCACAAAGCTGTTGATGATCT